GCTTCGGCTTAATCCTTCGGCTCATTATCAAATCTATTGACGTTATTCACTAAACAGTTGCACTAATGTCATGAAACATTAAAAACATAAACCCCAAAATATTATATATTTTCTGAAAGTGGCTGCAGGGGAAGTTGGTTGAATGATGCTGGCCATTATTCAGCTCAAAAGACTAGCAACATCTAGTGGCAGATAAGAATTACTGAGGTGAGCAGCACCAGCTTGGAGTATTGCAGCAACAACTTTTTTTTTTCTTTAATGCTTGTAATTTTTATTATTTTATATTTTTTATGGAGTTCTTCTTTCAGGAAGTACTCTGCTCAGGATACATTACCAGTAAAGTTATAGAATTTCAGGTTGTATGCACTTGGAATTCCTGTTCTGTGGATCGCAGTAGTTCCTGCAATAAAAATGTATACAATCTGGCTGCTTGTACACTATATTACCAAAAGTATTGGGACGCCTGCTTTTACACACACACATGAACTTTAGTGGAATCCCAATCTTAGTCCGTAGGGTTCAATATTGAGTTGGCCCGCCCTTTGCAGCTTTAACTCTTCTGGGAAGGCTGTGCACAAGGTTTAGGAGTGTGTCTATGGGAACATTTGACCATTCTTTCAGAAGCGCATTTGTGAGGTCTGATGTTGGATGAGAAGGCCTGGCACGCCGTCTCTGCTCTAATTCATCCCAAAGGTGTTCTATCGGGTTGAGGTCAGGACTCAGTCCAGGCCAGTCAGTTTCCTCCACCCCAAACTCGCTCATCCATGTCTTTGTGGACCTTGCTTTGTGCACTGGTGCGCATTGGGAGCATGAAATTGTCCAAAATGTCTTGGTATGCTGATGCTTTAAGAGTTCCCTTCACTAGAACTAAGGGGCCAAGCCCAACCCCTGAAAAAAAAAAGAAAAACCACACCATAATCTCCCCTCCACCAAACTTTACACTTGGCACAATGCAGTCAGGCAAGTACCATTCTCCTGGCAACCGCTAAACCCAGACACGTCCATCGGATTGCCAAGCAGGGCAAGAACACGTCTCCACTTCAGTCCAGTGGCAGCGTGCTTTACACCACTGCACATGATGCTTTGCGTTGCACCTGGTTATGTAAGGCTCGGATGCAGCTGCTCGTCTATGGAAACCAATTCCATGAAGCTCTCTACGCACTGTTGTTCCAATCTAAAGGCCACACAAAGTTTGGAGGTCTGTAGCTATTGACTCTGCAGCCAGTGGGCGACTTCTGCGTGCTAACCCTGCTCTGTCATTTTACGTGGCCTACCACATTGTGGCTGAGTTGCTGCTGTTCCCAGTTGCTTCCACTTTGTTATAATACCACTAACAGTTGACCCCGGAATATTTACTAGCAAGGAAATTTAGGGAACTGGTAGTAATGGGCAGCACATCCTTCTGCTGCTGTCAATCAACATGTTAGAAGGAAGAGTAGGAGGGAGCAAGGTAGTGTTAATCTGTTTCTGTGCACCCTCACCAGGAGTGCACATGCAAGGGTGGCGCCTTAAGAATCTGCAAGGGAAAGGACCCACTCTAAATACACATCTTGGCCAGCACCCAGGGGACCATTTTTTTCAGCTAGAAAAGGGAACTTGAAAATGCAAAACAAATTTTGCAGCAGCTTATGGAATATATTAAAACATAATTTCTTTAATATCACCTCTTATCAACCTTATTGTTTGTGTGCTGTGTTTAGTGGTTTTATATACAGTATATGGTACCTATTCAGTAGCCAAGTGTTTCTGGGAATGCATGAAAAATTTGGCAAATATGTTATAGAAGATTTTTTTTTATTTGCGAAGTTTGGTTGCAATAACAAGCCTTGTTCATCTACATGCCAGCATTAAAGTCGTCTTCAATATACACTGAGTGGCCAGATTATTATGACCACCCCATCAGTACTTTGTTGGGCCACAAGATGACTTCGTTGGGCCGCCTCGTGACTCCCCGAGATGTTGAAAGGTGATGCGAGGAATCTGACCCTGCACTGTGTCCCTTCTGTTGTCTTGTACCAGTCTTGCCACTCTCCGTTCTGCCCTAACATTGACTAGTCGCTGACGGCCACAATTCGCACGTTCAGACCCAGATTTTCGGCTGACAGTCCAGTCTTTAAACACTTTAACAACAGCTGCTCTTGAACATTTAACGAATTCTGCTGTTTTGCTGATACTCGCTCCATGGCTCCAAGCTCCAACAATCATCCCACGTTCAAAGGCTGTTAAATCGCGTTGTTTACCCATATCTTCAGAAAAAAAATCACTTCTACTGTTGTGGTAAACAACCTGCTTCCCTATTTATAATGGTCTAGCCCTCTTACAACTTCAGCGTGAAATTATAGCTAATTATAGCTAATTTGCCTACAAAGGTCGGGTGGTCATAACAATCTGGCCACTCAGTGTACATTGTAACAACGGTTGCAGTATAATGAACATTTGCTTAACTTTGCTACAACTGTATGATGACGTCAGTCATTGGAGTTTTTTCCAGAATTTTTTTTTTAATTTTTTAAAATATCTCTTTAGTGTCATTTTAAATGGGACAAATTATAAAATAAAATGTGTACTTTTTTATTTGCAGTAAAATTATTTGTTTTGTTTTATGGAATAAATACTTATAAAAGAAATAGAAAATATATTTACAAACTTGAATATGAAATGCGCATTGGTGAAACAGAGATAACCTGAGATGTATACTCATTGTTAAAAGTTGATGTGTGATTGATGTGCTAGAGGTAGTTGATAATTGACTGTTGATGGTAAATTAAATATGTGTTCTACTGGTAATAAGGCCAACTGCTTCTTGCATTAGTTTTCCGGTCTCTTATACTGTATACTAATAGTTAAGTTGAAGGCTTTCTGATTTGTAATTGTATCACATCAGGTTGGCTTGGGTATGATGCTGTACATGAAACTGAATAGCTAATATGTTGCGCTAGGTTGTCATAATGGACTGGAAATCAACATAAAAGCACCTCCTCTTGACTGTGGTACGTGAGTCAATAAGTGATGAACAGTTATAAAATAAAGTGGATCAATACAAAAATGTGCAATCAATACATCCATAAAAATGCTTGTCTGTGATCCTACATTAATTCGCTGTGAGTGAGTACTCAAATCAGTGCCGTATATGTGACAGTATCATCTGTGACTGCAATCTGTATGTGAAGTTGCAGGCACCTCTATATGGTTAATGTGAGTATCAAAAAAAAACAATCGTGACTGTGCTCAGGCTTCAAAAATCATAATCTGGAGTGAACCCTAAGCACAGTCACGGTTGTTTTTTTGATACTCACATTTTTATGGAATAATTGATTGCACATTTTTGTATTGATCCACTTTATTTTATAACTGTTCATCACTTATTGACTCACGTACCACAGTCAAGAGGAGGTGCTTTTATGTTGATTTCCAGTCCATTATGACAACCTAGCGCAACATATTAGCTATTCAGTTTCACACGGTTTACACCACACATTGTTGCAGCTGGTTACTTTTTAGATACTGTCTTTCTCCTAGCGCAATCACTCATTGTTTACATTCATGATGCTGTACATGTCAATTCATCACTTGGATCTGTATTAGATAGAAGAACTATAGTAGAACTAAGGCCCCATCTAATGCAGCTTCCTGTGATGGGGTAGTAACAATACTGCACCACTCCTGAATTCAGAGCAGAGATGCCACACTTATGTAAGCTGTGCCTCCTGGCACTACAGTGGGATACAAACATGTTGCAAGGTGTGTGACTATCCACATTGACACTGCTGATTCATGAGCCTGTAGTTTATCAGTCAGCAGCTTACCACACCTAGTCCTGCCCCCTGCTTTCTTGATTGACAGCACTACCTCTGTTGCGGAAAAGCTCCCACTGTGAGCTGCAGTCCCTGGGAGGGGGGGCATGTGATGCACAAATGAAAACAAAGGAGAATTTGACCCAGTCTGAAGCAAAGAAATTCTGGAAATGTAGTGTTTACTTTGAGGCTCACATAGTAACTGGAGTTGGTACTTGTTTAGACCATCATACAGAAGCCTTCAGATGCATTTGAAATTCTAACAAACATTAATAATAATATATGTTTCATTCTGATTATTCCAGATAAACAGTCATTACTGTTTGATTTCCACCACAATTACACATATTAACACAATCACCAGTAGTTTAAACACTGAGTCTACACTATAATGATAAAATATAATTATTAATGTGAGCATAACAGTCACTTTAAACTATTTACTGTATGAATACTATATTTATGTAATGATTCCTGGTGGAATTATAAGAAGTCACAAAAGGTTGAGCTTTAATGGAAGCTGTTGCTGGATGGGCCAGTGCAGGAACCCCTTGTTACTGTATGCTTGTCGCCTTTGTTAACATTTCCACAAGTGGGGGCTCATAGAGATGGTTCCCCATGCACAAGAACAGTTTGTGATTATACAATATATGCTTGCCAAAACCCAGTGTCCCACAGCTATGATGTATTCTCAGTACTAAGATTGTGGGAGCAAAGGTACAGTGGTTATGACCGTTGCTAAAGTAGCTTAGTACAAAGCTAAATAACATTCACAGGGAAATTGTTGTCTAAAAATAGATGGTAGAACCAGATTTTACCTCCTATTGAACATAAGGTTCAACAATGATTTATCTCAAGCTGGGAAAAGGGTTCAAAATACTGATCAACTGCTGCAATGTTACAGTGGTTTACTAGGTAAGCCAAAATGTAAAGTTCAGTGACCCATAGTGATCACAATTATATTTCTATATACTTGATGGATTCCCATATTTTAGCATGTTAGCATTGGTCCTAACACTGCCCAATTGAATGCAGTCACCCAAGATTGTATTAGAACAATGGGTGACTCTTGGCTAAAATATTGATAAAAAGACACATTAATGCATTTTCTTGCTCATTGCAGTCTCAGGATGGTTAAGTTTTTGTTATAGGATGTAATATTAACAATAACAATGAAACTTGTTTGACATTTATTTATTCTACTATCTAATGTTCATCATTTCTTGCAACGAGGACCCAACATATGTTTTGATCATTGCGTCTTCTTTTGCTAGAATAAAAACAAAATAATAAAGCATAAATAAATGAATTACAGTAAAAACTGTGACAAAAACTGCTCAGCTGTTGACAGTATCACTGAATTGCTAACAAAAAACAGTTAACTAAATTTGCTATGATTTAGGAAAGAGGTTGTTTTAGAAAGCTTTATATTTATGTTCAATGTAAACATGTCATGATTTAAAAAATGGGTTTTGTCATTATTGACTTCTTTTTCAGTTACCTGGAACTGGATACTAAATATTAAAGCCATGTTACAGCTTTACTATTTAGCAAGTCACTGACAAAGAACAAGCAAGCAGACAGTGAAGTCATAAGTTCTGACCTTGCCACTACCCTGTCAGAGATCATCCGAAATCTCAAGGCTTCCAACTTAAGCAGAATAATGAATGGGTACAGCCATGCCTCCCTCTAACATCGGGTCACATTGAAACAATCATGCTCCTGTATTCCGCTCCACATTCTACTCAGATGTAGGATGAACATACCAGCTAAAATAAAAGACTATCCTACAATTAGGCCTACATAGAAAACTGCTCAGAAGACTTTTTACTATTCTACCTCCTCTTTCTCTTTATTTTTGATTATTAGCAATGTTTAGCCGGAAACAAAAGGAGTCACATATTAATTAGCTGTCAGTAAAGTTAATAGGAGGCTGACCTTAAAAAGGTTTTCTATATTGTACAGAACCCTAGCCCTGCTCCATTACTTAAACCTTAAAATGGAAAGTATTTGTTGGAGATATGTGATGGCCAAAGGGAGTAACCTAAGCTGCACATGTATTGGACACAGCTTCAGAACAGAAGTTTAATAATTACTCCATATCAGAAAACACATCTTTCTTCCTTCTTCACCTCAGTACTAATTTGTGAAAACCTAGTTACTGACAAACTGATTTATTCACCATATGAATGACACAAACTCTTGCATTTTAGCTCTGTGTAAGTCAACACAGATACCCTCCCCAAAAATGTGGTTGTTCGTGGGTATGACATAAATGAAACATTTTGGTTTCCCTCCTTAAATTGAGTTTACCTCTTCTAAAGGCTGGAATTTTTCATTTTTCATTTTTGCCCCCCCCCCCAACTTTTTTCCCCTTTGTGTGCAAAATGATTGCTTTTGGCTTGCCATTTGCATCATTGCCTTCCAGCTATATGTACGAGAAACAGTAATGGTTTTAGGTGACATTCATTTTAATTAGTTTAAAAACCTGAAAGCATTAGAAACAATTTTCTCTGTAAACATTTTTCTTTGCAAAATAAGTAGACAAAGAAACTATGTGAAAAAGAGCCTAGAGACACTATAAACTATGCAATATTCACATGCAATACTTCAAATATAAATCACTAAAAAAAGTATAAAATATTACAATAATAAAAAAAATACAAAATGTGTGTACATACGACAGTATACAGTAAAGCCATAGGATAAGCATTATAGTAAGTCAACTAGCAAAAGTTATGAGAGTATTCAAATGTTTAGCATGAGAGGTTAACCTCCTCATGATAAGGTTTTCTTCTAATTAAACAGATAGTATTACCTTTTGTGTAGGAGCTGTGGTCTTAGGTTGATAGACACAGTCACTGTCACATACCCCTTCACAACACTTCAGTGACCAAGGACAGTCAAAGTTATCTTGGCATGGATTTCCTAATAATAAAAACAAACCATAGAAATGTATATTTCTGTAGTCTTTTAAGATACAGGGAACAAGGCAATGTATAATGCCATCCTATTTATGTAGTAAAATACAATTTATATATTTTTCCTTTACAGTATCTATTATGTTGTTTTGACCGTTAGACGTTACTATATATATATATAAAGCTGGCACTATACTCTGATAACTTCCCCATCTTATATAGTTTCCAAGAACTACACTTCTCATAGGCTTAAATATGATGTATACTTAGGGGCTGATTTATAAATCTTCTACCCAGCATATAGCTGAACAACTGAAGTTTGCACGCAATTAACGCCACTAGTTGAAGTCAAGAGGCTTAGGAATTTCCTATACTCTTTCTAGTGGTGGTAATGCCGTGTGAACCCCATTTACCCAGCTATATACTGAACGGAAGATGTATAGATCAGCTCTTCAAAGTGTATCTATAACCTTTGAACGTTTGTTTTGGACATGGTGGGGAAGGATTGGAACTCCTGTAAGGTATCTCCAGAATAGGAAGAGAGAGGAAATCTCTCTAGCAGTAACACAGACCTAAGTTTAAAAAAAATAATTCCTATGTATGGGGGTGTTAGAACCTCTGTCAGCTTCTTTTTTTTTGTTGTCTCTCAAAAATAAAAAATAAATTAAAAAAAGTTTTTTCTAGGTTACAGTGTTATATGATTGGTGTTTCGGGGTTTAATGTTTTGGTTTCAGATTTTCTTTCTATATAATATTGTCAGGGTCTTTCAATGTTTTTAGTTTTCAGCGTCAGCAGTGGGAACTTGTTGGCGACACAGGAAAAGCTACCTTTTGTTAGCAGGACAGCACCACATACTACTGCGGCACAGTTTAGTGCACAAAAGCACCACATTGTAAAGTGCACCAAAGCACCATATTCTCCATCCACTTATTGTTATAGCTGGTAATACAATTAGGCAAACACCCATTACCATCATGTCATGTCCAAAGCCGAAAAAAGTTTGGGTTTAGTTCTCCTTTAAACTTCAAACTGTGTAGCAGTTTGGTGAATGCCCTGCAAACTGAACCCAGTTCTGTAATAAGCGTGACTAACAGGACCAAAACTCCCAAGCACGTGGATGCGTTTGAAGCTAGAAATGTTGTCAATTTATCAATGCAGGAAGAGCCATGTACAGCAGAGACACCAGGAGTCTTAAACTATGCACAGACATTAGATAAGCAATTAGGATCTTTGATGGCCACGTGCTCCCCCATGTGCCAGTAATAAAGAAAGCAAAAAACAAAAATACATTCTCTTAAATAGAACTGCTGAATAACAGTACAATTGATCTGTTTTATTAAATTTTGGTTTGAGTCATATTCATACAAATAAAGCTTTGGCATGCTTTAAAAGAAACTCACTGAAAACTGGTGGGGCACAAACAGTTCCACAAATGGTTTTGCAGCACTTGAGGCTTCCTTCGCACTGGGAGTCAGAGTCACAAGTGATCATGGTACAGTTGTCCTTATCAACACAATTGTCAACGCACAAATCATTACTGCCTTCAGGAATCTCTGGACAACCACCTGGTTTCCTTAAGTCTCCAGTACCTAAAGAAAAACATTAAATTCTCAGCAGAATAACTGTAGCAAGAGAAAACAGCATGATTTCCATAGGGAGTGAACAAATCCAGAAAAAAAGTCAAACTTTGCCTAGATCATGCATACTGAAGTATTGACATATTCTGAACATGCAGTAATTGCACTTTAAAACATGCCCTCACTCATGTAACTATAAGCATTTTGGGGAAAAAACTAATATTTTCAGTTTACAACACAGGCATTGAAAACTTAGCTCTTTCCCTATTACTTTCTATTCTATCAGAATCTTGGAAACTGATAACCTTCTAACATAAACACACAGCAGTCGTTTCTAAGCTGTTAGAAACCTCTAGATAAGAGGGATCGAAGACAGTGTAATACTCATCACTATATGTATTGCTTCTTGCTCCAGGGATCTTGCATGGCTGCCCCATTCCTGAAGTTCAAATTGAAAATGTGCAAATGGATCTCCTTTCACACCTTAGTGTGCTAAGTGACCTCTTAATTTCCTTTGTGTAAAAGACATCTCCTATAGCAGCGGTCGCCAACCAGTGGTCCGTGAGAAAATTTTGGTGGTCCCCGGGCCCCTCTGATGCCGTGCAGGCTTGGCCATCATTGAAGCGGCACGGAGGCTCCCTCTCACTGACTCAAGCAGCGGCTGTCACAAGGAATGCGCGGCTCTCAGACATATACTGTATGTATATATAGATATATTCTCATATTTGTTGTTTCCTCATATATAAACATATTTGTGTGTGTGTATAGTTACACACACACACATATGAGAATATATTTATATATGAGGAAACAAAAGATATGAGTATATATATTTTTTTAAAATTCATATTAGTGGTCCGCGGGATTTAAAATTATGAATTTAGTGGTCCATGAGGTCCGAAAGGTTGGTGACCGCTATCCTATAGCATACAATGACCCCCCTCAGTGTACAGGACTCATAAAGTTATTGGCCCCTCCACCCACCAGTATACAGAAAAAATCACCTTACTTCCCAGCAGGCCCGGATTCCCCACAAGGCCACTGAGGCCCGGCCTTGGGGTGGCACATAGCAGAGGGGCGACGAGTCATTCTCAGTGTGCATGACCCCCTGAGAGAGAGTTCAGTGCTAAGGATCCATTTGATATCCTGCAAATGCAAATCAGAGAGATTTTGGTAACCTTCTGTAACCTACATCTAGAATAACAGGCTGCACCAAGCCATATCCCCTAATATGCAAATGAGTTATCTACTAATGTTATAGATAAGAAAATATAATCTGCTCACTAGAATACACTCCAAATTATGTTGAAGTATTTTACTTCAAGTGAAGGTCATTAGTGAGAAAAGTATAGGCTCCCTTACAACTGTGGTCCTTGGGCTGCCCCTCAGTCTGGCCCTATAATAATCCACGACTGGGTTATATCCTACTGGTTATGTTGTATCTTAGCACTGAAAAGGAGAACACATTTCTTATTAAAAATGTTATTTTCTCAAATAATGGTATTTCTGTTATTTTACTATTGTTTGTATCCTGTTACTACTCAAGCTGTAGGTACTGGATGAATGGTATCATGTATGTAAAGCTACTTACCTGTTTGTGAACTGCCCAGATCTTGCGAGAGAGCCACAGCAATGGCTCCCCAGATTACCACCAAGAGGACTTTCAGGAATCGATCCATAACGAAGATGAGGGACAAATGGCTCAGGTCTCCTAGTTGTTCTGTTTAAATGAGTGTACCAGTGTCCCTAGGTTATTAAGCATATACAAATTGGAAAAGGGTGTATTTAGGTTATTCTGTAACATAAATGTGTAACTGGATGAGAGATCATTATTGACATCCTCAGGCTAAAGGAACTCAAATAATAGAACTCCTTCCTGTTATGTGCGAGTGAGTGTCCCTAATGGAAAGCCTGAGAAATAAATACATGCCTTACCTAGTACATACTCAACAATATAGTATCTTCACCATAAAAGAACAAGATCAAGTTTCATACATCAGGATGTGTTCACAATTCTATCACGCAGGCAGTGGCGACTCTAGGAACAATATATAGGGGGGCAATATTAACCCCTCAAAGCTACCCCAGAGCGACCATTAACCCCGCACAGCTACCCCAGAGCAACCATTAACCCCCGCTCAGCTGCCCCAGAGCCGACATTAACCCTGTACAGTAGGCTCTGAGGTGGGGGTGCGGCTTTAATGGCGGCTACCAGTGGTATCGGCACATCCCTAGTACACAGTGCAATGGAAAGGTAGGCTAGACTCAGACTCCTACCTTGAATGTAGGATTAGGGGTCTGCCTCCAGCTGATCCTCCGGCTACCCCTCAAGCTGCTGCTTTCAGTCAGATACAAACTGCATGGAACTCCGTCTCCTATGTAATGTGGCCGTTTTGCTCCTGCACACCAGAGGGGTCCTACTGGGCTGTGCACAGCGTGTGACCTACACTGCCTGCATCCAATTCAGCCGGAAAGCACCCCATCTGCCAATACAGGCACCGAAAAGGACAGACCAAGGAGGCTCCCAATGTCGATGAGCTCCTCCCTCTCATTCCCCTGCTCAGAGCATCGGTTCGTCAGGCACTAGTATGCATCAGCCTGCTCAGACGGACTGACGCTCATTTACATCTGTCTGCTCTGAGCAGGGGAATGAGAGGGAGGAGCTAATCAGTGCTGTGCATCGAGCCAGTGGCGTAGCCAGAGTTCCGGGCGCCCGGGGCAGGACAAAATTTGGAGCACCCCCAACCATTATTTCACCATTATATAGCCCCCGAAACCCTCCCCTCAACGGTCTCTAATGTTGCAGCAGCGTGCTGGACTCTGGACTTACCTGAGACCCTGCATAGCCCACAATGGATCTTGCATAGCCCCCCTGACACTCTCTTTGGTGGGTGGGCTATTCAGGGCCCCAGGTGGGCTGGTCGTCAGGGTCCCTTTCCCTGTACCTCCTCCCAACTCTTCTTACCTGCTGCTGCTGGGGCATGGCCTCCTCCACCCCCTCCCGTCATCTCTGCCATGCCGACCCTGATACAGCTGATACCCATGTAAGGGGCCCCTCAGTCTGCCCAGACCCCTCACATGGGTACTGGCCGTACTCCCCTGATGGCAGACATGCCAACTGTCCCAGATGCTCCGGGAGTCTCCCGCTATTAGATAGCAGCTCCCGGGAGATAAACATTTTCTCCCGGAAAGGTTTAGTCTGCTCGATCTAGCAGAGTAAACCTTTGCCTGCTCTGTTTTTTTTCTGACATTGGCCGCCGTCAGTCAGAAAAAAAAAAACAGCATAGGAATGCATAGCTAGATTCCTATTGGCTATTTCACTTTGCAATAGCCAATAAGCTGTCCGGCCCTGGCAGGGGGGCAAGCAATTTACCTAGGGGGGGCCCCCCTCGCCCCCCTGTAGCGACGTCACTGCACGCAGGTCAGGAGGGTAAGGGCGTATGATAGAAATGTTCCTGGATAAAGCAGCGACAGATCTCTAGGAGAAACACAGTAATATTTAAAAAAACAATAAAGTGATCAGCGCCAGTGGGTGAAATAAGAGCTACTAAGTACTATGGATATAAATATCTAAAAAATGTAAAAAACAATATTGTGCCGAGCTAATAATCATACACATCTAATACAATAAAACATGTATAAATGAATAGCATATATGAGCCTTAACGGAAATAAGGCATTCAAAAAATCTACACACCAAAAAAGCAACAAAAACAAAAAGGGTCCCCAAAAAAAGAATGGTGATCATGCAAGAAAATTCCTCAGATGATTCCCAGCCATCCTGCATGTAACTCTCAGGTAAGGATAATCACACAATGCAGGCAGACCTTCACTTCCACCCAGTGAGTGATAATAACAAGTGAGTGCCCACCTGGGGAGGTAGACCCACAGAGCTAGGTCAAATGCGTGTTTTCCCTTCATAATGGGGGAAGAAAGCCCATGCACAGTAAAGGCGATAAGGTCTTCTCAAATCACAAGTACCAGCATAAATACAGGAGGAGAGAGAAAAAGGACAAGGACATAGTACCCAACGTCCAATTAAATGCAATTTATTAAATAGAAAAGGCGTACTCACAATGGTACAAAAAGTACAGGCATTAAGTATTGCTGGATCAAACTAGCAAGGGAAGTGGCAGCAAAACGATGAAACACCTGTTCGTCCGGCTCAGCTCAGTGCAGTGACATCGGAAGCTCCGCCCTACGTACGTTACGTCAAAACACGGGGTCTGGAGCTGCCCATGTCTCAAAGTCTATTTAACATACAGGAATACTACCATAAAGGCAGCAAACCAGGCGCACTCCCTCTACCAAATGTATGGAAATAGCACCATAAACGAAAAAAAGGGCCAGAGCACAGAAGAAGGGGAATAACAATGGATACAATTACATATAAAGTACATATGAAAACACATATATATAAAAAATATAAAAAAGGGGCCTAAGCACCAAATACCCATAAACAAAAACATATATCCCATATAATAATATACTAATATGCCAGCAGAGGGCAGCACACTGAAAAGATGTATACATGAATCTCAAAATAGTAATGACATATATAAAATATACATACAGGCATATAAAAAAAAATCTAGTGTATGTGAAATTAGTAACAGGTGTAAAAAAAACTACTCCTACTCCTAAACAATTTAAGCATTAGATATATAGCAATTTAGGTCGAATTCTGCATTAAGTCCATGGGGCTTCAAAGAACCTGCTTTAAAAATACATTGGGTTTCTTCTTTCGCTAACTGACGCTTCCAACTCCCTCCTCTCCAGTGTCTAGACACCTTTTCTTTTCCGCAGAATTGTAGTAAACCTGGATTTTTCTTGATGTTGGTGCCTCATTTTCTCGTGGTGCGACCAGTATATTGCAACCCACACGGACATTGTAAACCATAGATCACCCCCTCCGTGTCACAGGATATGAAATCTTTAATGTCTACATGAATGTTACTAGCATTCAGCTGGAAGGTTTTCTTGCGTTTCATATTATTGGGAACATTTT